GCTGCAGCTGTGAAACTGTTTAAAATACTAACTGCTTGCTTTGCCTGCAGAGTGTCTCAGCATGATCGCTTCCCTATGCTGCAATTTATTGCTTCCAGCACACACTTCTAGGCTTTCAGGGCTCACGCTAAATCTGAGATCTGGATGCCAGGACAGGGGATCCTGTTTCTCTCACTCAGGAAGAGTCTGATTCAGTCCCAGTCTCAAGCTTGGTTCACCTGATCTAGCTGCTTGTTCTTCCATCCATGCTCTTGACTTTCATGGGGTTTAATTAAAACACAGGTCTTTAATTTTTAATTTTTTCCTTCCTGTCAGTTTGAAGCTCTTTACTGTGTGAGTGGTGTCTCAGTGCAATTACTGTGCCTCCCATGGAGCAACAGACACTTAATTCAATGAGTTGGTCTCCTTCTTTTGAGAGCTCTGTTTATCTGCTCTTTATACCCTAATGAGCAAATGCAAAAATTAGCATAGCGGTAAACAATTTGTGGCCTTATTTGGTGGCATTAATGGTTGGTTTATTTAGGTCTTGGTTGCTGAAATCTTCCTAGCAGGTGACTGATGGTTTGCTGTTAGGGCATGCATTGTGAGGGTCTTTTAGTGTAGGGTGCCTTCTTCACTTATGTTGGGAGGGACTGAAGGGAATAGGTAAAGTCCAGGTTTTCTGTTAATAAGTGTCAGAACTCTTGATGCATCTTTACAGTAAAATGATTTGGCTCTTTATTTTCAATGGACATGGGTTGTTCTATAGTAGTTTAATTGGTACAGAATCCAGGAAGGAGCCTCCTATTCTTCCTGTTTGTAGAAATCTAGTACATAATTGTAAGAGAAGCCCTAGCTTCTGCCTTAAAATTAAGAGAGTCCTTTGGTACCTGTCTGTGCTCCTTATGGGTAGTACCTGTTAGTGTTAATTACTTTGAGAGAAGCAAACATGACGAGTTCGCTACTACTAAAAGTTTACTCCCCATCCTAACTGTGAAGCTAAACTGGATGAGTCAGAGTAATCAAAAGTCCACCTTTTAAGTGATTCCTGATTCCTTTTGCCTCTAGACCAATAGGGCTACAACCTGGTCGCCTGCCTCTAAGTGCAGCACTGGGTGTGTGGCTGGGACATCAATACAGAAGTGAGGGGCCAGCAGCTGTGGTAGTTCAGCATTGCTCACCCTCTGTTGTATGAAGTTTGCAGCCATTGCTAGCATCTTAACTATTGCATTTCCTGGTGTCTGTGCATGTTAAATATGTTGCTTCGACCAACCTGTGCTCTGAATAAATTATGTATTTGCATACACAAATCCAGATGGATGCTAAAACAAATATGATAAGAATATTCTGCTGTTCAAATGCAGCTTTGTGATGCAGCTTATTTGGGCTGCTCATGTGCATCACTTCTCAGCTCCTTCAGCATTGAGTCCATTTGCTTCTTTCCTTTTTGGGTATTTTTTGTGTTATGTGATTCTCCCCAAGTCTATTGAATACACATTTCCAAGCTGAATCCTGTTTCTGTCCTCCTGAATCTTTCTCTCTCTGGGTCCCTTTCCTTCTGTTCTGGCTTTTCTTAACTATCACTCCCAAATATTAACATGCTCATTGCTTCCACATCTCTTTCATTTAATAAAGACGCTCAATAGGCCTTGACCCTTCAAGCCCTGGGCAGGAACACACAGGAGTGGGGCAAATAATGCTTCATTTGTGAATGCCATGTTCATGCTGTAATGTGTATGCATTGAACACATGTGCCCCTTTCCTTTTTAACCAGTGAATATCTGCTGTTAACATGCTGCACCACTCTGAGCTACTGTGGATCAATGTAAGCCCAGAATAAATTCTGTAAATGAGTATTTCTGTAAACTGTAGTTTCTTCCTCTCTTGTTCTGAGGTTTGCTATAATTTGCAAGGTAACAGACTACAAAGCTAGATGAAGTTAGACCTGAAACAATAAAAATGTTGATTATGCAAAAGATTCACTGGGTTTTTAAACTGTCCTTCTGGGGCAGAGGATATCAACATTTCATTGTTGTTTGTGTGAAGTGCCTTTTAGTACCAGTTGTCCAGCTATGATGGATAAAGAAAGCAGATGTACCCTATGTCTTTTTAACTGCTTTTGTTTCCCTGATCACTGTAAAAGAGGCTTTCTCAAGCAGCAGTGCTGCCTGGGTTTGATCAAAGCTTATAAATGATGAATTGAAGGAATGTCCAGTGTAGAACAGAACGCCCCTTCTTGTATTCTTCTGTGTGTGGAAAAAGCACAATCGTTGCTTTACATACCTTTTCCCCTTCTTGAGCTTTGTGGGGACAGACAGAAAAGGCCTTTTGTTTTTGTCTGTCAGCAAAGACAATGCCGGTCGTGTTATACCTCTGCCCTCATCACCTGACCAGCTAAAGCTCTGTAGATTTTGGCAAGCTGGGATGCAATTGTCCTCCAGCAACAGCACTGCAACGAAAACAAATGGTATCACAACTGCCTTCTTCCAGAGTTGTGCTGTGGGGTAGCAGAATGTGTGCTTGATGTTCCCCGTTCCTTTTGGCCCACATGGAGGGGAAAAAGAGGTCTCTCTTCCTTCCCTCAGGCTGAGACGGGGATGGATTTATTTCTCGATTTTCATCTTGTTGCATGAGAGCACTTGTTGCATTTGCCTGAATCCATGATGACTCTGAACATAAGAGGAAATTTGTTATAATTTTCCATGTCTAGAATCTAATTTTTTTTTGGGGGGAGGGGGTCTAATATCTGTTCACACCCACACACCACTGCTGCAGCGGGGGGGCAGGTGGTGGTTCGGCAGGCAGCAGGGATCAAGTGGGCTGACCCCTGCTTCTTGCTGTCCTCCCCCCAGGTGCTTGCACACAGTGGCATCTACCTCCTCTGCTGTCTGCCTCCTGCTTATACTACTCTTGGCTGGTGTGAGAGTCAGTCACGTTCAGATCTTTCATTGTGTGGAGCAAAACCAGGTTTGTTCTTGGTGAATTTTGGAGACGGGGAAATTTGGTCCTTCCTGAACAGTTTGTGTGACTGGTTACCGTGACCACTCAGGATTTGTAGCACAAGTAAAGGCATCAGTCAGAGTCAAGATCCTGCTAAGTTATGTATTGATCAGCAAAAAGTTAAGTCCACACCATTAATGTTTCTGGGGTACCTTGAATGACAGTCTGAAGTGGTTGGAGCTGGCTGGGGTGCGTGGAGCAGCCAGTAGATACAGAGACGTAAGCTAAGGGGTGCAGCTTGGGGCCTAGAGACTGGTTCAGATGCCATAGTGCCATATTTTGGAAGAACCATTTTTTTGGAAAGAGCTGGTTCACTTTAAAGATAAGCTATGGAGTCTTGAAAAAAGAAATTCCAACAATTGTAGAACATGGTCTAAGTTCATCCTGAATATGAAAAGTTTTTATTCTGTCTTAGTTCTCCTTGAAACTGGCCTTCTAGGTATAGACTCTGGGTCTCAACACCTCATGTGAGCCAAGTGTCACTGTGAAATAGTGACACCCCCACTTATAATGTGAACTGCACCTTCTTTGAAGCTTCCCCCCCAAGCCCTCCCTTCTCCCTTGATCTCTGTGCTGGAAGGCAGCTTTAAAGAAAACAATGTAGGAGATGCTGAAGTTAGAGTCCATACGGAAAAACTAGAACTCTTGGTTCCAAAATGATACCTCTTATTAGACCAACTGGGAAATTTCAAGAAAATTGGCCTTTTCTGCACGCTTTGGGATCGAAGTCCCTTCGTCAGGCTCTGGGAAAAGTATAGATGATACAAGATGGTAAAAAGTCCCCATAGGTAGGAAATGAACTTCATTTTTGCACAGAGGGAGCTGAAGATGGACGGCTGTCCCTCTGGGTCCATGAGAGTGTCTTTGTGAGCTGTGTTGAGCATCTCTTAGAAGACAGTTCGCAAAGACACTCTCATGGACCCAGAGGGACAGCCGTCCATCTTCAGCTCCCTCTGTGCAAAAATGAAGTTCATTTCCTACCTATGGGGACTTTTTACCATCTTGTATCATCTACACTTTTCCCAGAGCCCGACGAAGGGACTTTGATCCCGAAAACTTGCATAAAAGACAGTTTTCTTGCCATTTTCCAGTTGGTCTTTGAATTTTAAACTTCATTGCAGAACAACAAGAAAGATTTTTTTTTTTTTTTTTACCTCCCTGCCTGCCATCTGACACCCCCAGGGAAGGATTCTACCTGATCTACACATCAAAGAGATACTCAGCACAGCTCACAAAGACACCTCATGAACCCAGAGAGACCTTCAGCTCCCTCTGTGCAAAAATGAAGTGTATTTCCTACCTATGGGGACTTTTTACCATCTTGTATCATCTATACTTTTCCCAGAGCCTGACTAAGGGACTTTGATCCTGAAAGCTTGCAGAAAAGGACAATTTTCTTGTGATTTCCCAGTTGGTCTAATAAAAAGTATCATTTTGGAACCAAGAGTTCTAGTTTTTCGTATGTCTTCTTGTCTCAGACCAACACAGCTGCCAAGTACACCCCTAAGTTAAAGAGTGTGATCTACTTGCATATGCTTGCACTCAATTGGCAGGGGCCAGAAGGCAGAACTTAAATCCCTCCCAGGATTTTCTCTGGGGGGAAGGGAAGGTCTTGCATGATGTGTTTAAAATTGGGGAGAAAAGTTGGTCTTTTATGAGCCAAGTGTCTCAAACTTAAGAAATCTGGTGAATGTGAAAAACGTTGCAGGTCACGTAAAGGTAACATTCGTAGCCTCAACTTCCCCATCTCACTACTGGAATTGCATTCCATCAGAACATGTGCAATGCTGGAGGCTTTTAGTGGTTTGGCCTAAAGTATTTGTTGTATTCATTCCTGCCTTGTAACATGGCTCATGTTCTTAGTGTTCTCTTTTTTTCTTTTTTTTTTTCTGTGAGAGACGCACAAAATTAAGAGATTCCTCCCCCAACTATTGAAACACCTGGAGGGTGTTAAGCCTTTTATAGCCATTCCTTTTTGGAGCCATAACTCATAGCTGCTGCTTTTCTGTTTTCATTTGCAGGTTGTGCAGCCTGACTTTAAAGAAACTGGTAGTCTTAAAGGAATTGGATAAAGAGCTCATACCTGTGGTCATTGCAGTTAAAATGCAGGTAACTTTGTATTTAATTAGTTCTGAGAGCAAAATGGAACCCTGCTAAAAATGTCAAGTGCTAAATTGTCAGGAAATAACCATGTTAGGATGAACTTCATCCCCTTGGCCACGTGTTGCTATTGCAGCATTTTTGCAATTACAGTATGTGGTGTCAGAAACTCATGGCTACCTACACATGTTAAAGTCTTGGCATTTTTTCCCCCCAGCTTTCTGTAATGTTATTGTCTCAGCAATTATGCATGTCTTTGTGGAGTGGGATGTGTTGAGTTAGTCCTTTTGTTGAAGACAAAGGTAGTTTTATTTTGCAAAACTGAGTTTTTGGTTATAAATTCTCTTTTTCCCCCAAATTCACTGAAACCAAGCCTGTTGTTCTGTGACAAGTAGCCTCTTGTGTCAGGGTGGAATTTATTCCCTAAGAGCCTAATTCTTCTTGGTTTCAGGTAGATGGGAATCTAAAATGTTCTATTTGCTTCTGAAAGACTTCCTTTCTGCTTTTCATCTTATTGTTCCTTTGGATGGTAGGAAAGTATGGCTGGAGCGGACATCACAAGATCATCTAGTACAGCCCCCTGCTCAAAGCAGAATTATACCTGGACCAAGATCTGCTTAAATTAATCGTACTAGTAAAATAGTCATCTAGCAAAATATTTTTCACAAGCTTCAAAGGAGTTCATATAGCTACTGTTACAAAAAATACAAAAGCATGTTCCTTGCTCGATTTAAATAGCATATGTACATTTTTTCAACTGTATGGACTTGTATGTACATGTACCTTTTTAGTGTGTAAATATACCCATCAGTTCTGAACCTAAAATGATAAGAATGCATCACTTTTGCCTGTAGGCAGGAGACGGACTAAAAAGCAGTGTGGTCTGTTCTTGAATTACTTGTCAGCTCCGCTTACAGACATTTGTGTCACTGAACAATACCTAGACATTGCTTAAAAACAGAGGAAATTCCCAGGGATAGAACTTTGTTAGCCGAGAGCTGAAATGGGAGAAAGCAGCTGGTTCAGCCAAAAACCCTGTGGTGAACTTAGCAGTCAGGATATAAGACAAAGATTTTAGCTTAGAAATTGAAATGTCTGCAACGACTTTTACAAAAAGACCTGGAAAATTCATGTACACAAATAAGTATTCAACAAATAGTCATTTTGAGAATAGCTCGAAACTGCTATATCTGTCTATGTTGAGACCAACAAGTTATTTCCAGTGGACCAAAGAGAGATGTTTTTTTTTTTAATTAGAATTTTGCCCCCTCCTCTTATGCAGTCACACAGCTGGTCTTGTTAACACGGATTTTGGGGTACCAGCACTTAGCGCTGCTCTTAGTTTCTTGTGCCCTTCCAGAATGGGAAAGTCTAGTTGGTGGAACCCTGGGAAATTGGTTCCCTCACAATAAGTTGGCTTTGTAGGGAA